ATGATTTTCGGACTTTTTCACAAAAAGTGGAAGTGTTGAAGAGACAAGGACGCCGCTAGCCTCGTGCACGGCCCAAAAGCCAAGTCTCGGTCGACTCTCACCCAGACTAGTCAAACTATGCACCCCTAGGGAGGCTGTCACCAGACTTTTTGACTTGTACAACGTACAACTTAGCATACAAGCCAAGCGGGCATTTGAGAATCCAAGTACGACTCGGGACGAAAGTGGACTACGTGGCGGATCTCAGGAACAAGCGCTAAAAGCTTCATACATTCTCATCCTATACAGAAGAAGTAACCTACCCTTCTGAGCGATAAGCTGGAATCCGATGTCCCCACAAAAGCTGCCTGCTGAGACACCATGGATCCTTGTTTGATAACCAGTCAAACAGCTTTTGTTCATGAATGGCAGGAAGAATCCTGATCTAGAATCAAAATGCAACAATGAAAAAAAAATTATTGGATGATTCGGTTTCGTAAGCAGGATAACTGACCCTTCCTTCCCTAACGGCTTGCGCGGCGTCCTCGTAGAGTCCTTCTGTGTTCATAAACCACTGATCAGTGAGACGAGGTTCGACAACGTCACCTTAAAGATTTGATTCAGCCTAACCCTTCTGAGATTTTTCCCGCAACTAACTAAGTTGATCGGTGTCATTGATCTTGAAAAAAAAAAGAATTCGAACAGTGCTCTGCAATGCCCCTTGCCCAGAACCTTGATTTTGACCAAAAATACTGCATTTGTTTTCCAATTAATCAAGTGTTCCTTTCACTCTTTACCAAGTAGAGCATGGAGACGTAGACTAGTTTTGACAGAGAGAGCAGGACTACATTTGTCTGATCTCTTCGAGTAGGTAGGACTAAGGACAAAAAAGTACACTTGAAATCAAGACTCCTGTAGTGATAACTCAGAAGCCATTCAATAAACAAGTTGCTGTTCCTATCTTCCCAGACAAATCTAGGGCCTCTTTACCGTTCTCGCATTGTAGAAGGCTTGGGCGGGAGCCGATCCCAGATTTGATGCTTGGATCGGTCTCATGGTTAGCGTGCCACTTGCAACTACACCAGTTCCGCCCCAGTGGGTGCCATAGTGAGTGGAACTGTTCCGAGAATTCCATTCCTTCAGAGAATGGTCCCTCGAACTCCGACGACAGATTTGGGTTCAGCGGCTCGTGGCACATACAACAACAAACATCTCATTGCAAGTGGCCAAAATGACTTGTTGCGGTTCTCCCTGGGAGTCGGCGAGACGAATATATGTCCACGGCTAGCGATGGGTGTTTTGTAGCGTGTTGTGGCTAGCTGTGCTACAGAAGAGCAGCGAAACAGAACGTCCTCAACCATAGTGAGTGAACCAAATTTCAATCAAAAGCTATACAACTTATTCAAAAGAAAAATGTACTGACGTAAGAATTACAAATCTACGAATGCACCACCTGTTCGACTGCAGAGGCTAATTTGGCCGTCGTGCTTCACAGTGCCTTCAAAGAGCCCACAAGAGACCAGCTTCTCAATAACCTTGAAAGAAAAGAAAATAAGCTATGTATGATACTCGATTTCGCAAGAGTTCAATACCCTTACCTTGGTTCTTGCAACGAAGCGATCAAGACCAGCAAACTCGTCTGCTTCTTCGTTAAGTCTGCCACGGATATCAACACAACTTCTTGTCAAAGCATTCGGATCTTGACCAAGAATTTCTTCCCGATGACGTGACGCAATCTCCCAATCAAGGGCGTCGTGACAAGGAGTGATTTTCAAAACACCTGAATTGATGAATGAACAGAAGCACACAATTTGTTGATTATTACAAGTCCATACTAATATCATGACTCAACTATAGTGAGTGAATCTAGTTCCAATCAAAAGCAATCGGTTTTACCCAACTGCGGGCTTCGGTGACCGCGGGTTTGCTACTTCCCGTGGATAGACGAGCCTGCTCCAGATTCACAGGTTTCATCAGGCTGAGTTTGTGAACCAGCCTGATGAAACCTGTGACCACCATGTGTGTGTGGACTAGTGAAGCAGCGAAGGTGCAAAATACCACCCGTCCCCGAATAACGCCCCCATGTGTTTTTAAAAAGGGTACGAGTGAAAGACACACCGGTTCCTTTGTCCATTTGCACAGCTTTGTCGACAACAACAGGAAGTTTCCTATCGGAACAAAGAGGGTGACGCACCTTAATCAACTCAGATCTTTGCCAGCAACAAATACGAATGCTTTTCATGAATCTGCGTGTAGACTAATTCCAGGAAAGTTGTACTTACAAGTTTCCCCACAAGATGAGAGTACCGACTATCTTCTGGATGTACAGCGAGTGCAACATCCGCAAACATTGTTTCTGGACGAGTAGTGGCAACAGAAACAAACCTATAATGTATCCAAAACATGAAAGATGGACTGAAGAACAATATAAAAGGTCATAGCAAGGAAAAAAGAGAGGGTAAAATCACCCATCAGACCCTTCTAAAGGGTATTTGATGCGGTACATTGTCCCCACTTGTACTTCTCGTTTCCCTCCTTCAGAACTGGGAACAACAATTTTTGTCGGTGACGACAAGTCGACGCGAGAGACCTCCTGATAAATGAAAGCAAATTAACCGCAGACAACTACTTCAGCCACTGCTCAGGTGAAAAATGCTCAACCCACTCACTTGATCTGATATGGAACTTTGTAAGGAGGGACACCAATTTACTATCCTTTTGTCCCGATAGATTAATCCGTCCTCGTGAAGCCTGATGAACGCTTCAATGACAGCTGACGAGAACTTCTTGCAATTTAATGATTTTAAGACAAAGCCAAAAATTTTAATTGGATCATGACAAGGCCACCTACTTCGTTCAGTGTATAGTAAGCGTTTTTCCAGTCTAAAGTTGCCCCAAGAATGTTCAGCTGTTTACGAATTGCAGTAGAGTTCCTGAAAGAAAGAGGAAATTTGGCTGCAATGAACCACTACCTATAGGTGTTTTTCCGAAAAAATACAGGACACTATAAAAAACTGAATGACTTCGAAAGCCTACATTTCGCTCCACTCCCGACACTGTTCGACGAACTCTTCCCTAGTCAGTTGATCACGTCTCAAGCCTTTCTTCTTCCAAAGTTCTTGCTCAACCACCACTTGCGTTGCAATTCCTGCATGGTCAAAACCCGGGATCCATTTAGCCTAAATAAAAAAGAAGCCTAAAAAGAATTTTAGGCAAGCTGATGTTCCTATTCAAGTAAAACTAGCTTACTAACTACGCCTCCTTTAATTCTGTGATGTCTGCACAATGTGTCCTCAATAGTGACGGTCAAGGCATGACCGAGGTGCAGCTTCCCCGTCACATTTGGAGGAGGGAGAACCATGCGAAACTCCTTACCTTAACATTACTAACAATTATGTTCAGAGACCTCTTCGAAGCTAACAACCATAAAAAGGCGGGAGAATTCAAGTCGCTTTTCTTCAGCAGAACTAGAACTACCACAATAAGATGAGGACTTTTGCCCGGATCTAACCGTAACAGGGTGGTTATACTTCGCGATTTTGCCGCTGTGATCGCGCAAGCAAGTGGCGACTTGTCGTGCGGTTAGTGCGAAGAGTTAAATGCACCAAAAAATGGGAGGGGGGGAAGCAGAATGAGCATCAGCGGTATACGAACCGTTCTCAACGTTACAGTGGCATTCTATTTGGCCGAGTGATGCGCTACCTCTCATGACATTGCGTTTAGCGTACGCCAGCGCACTGCGTTTTGATCGTTTCGAGCGCTATGCCTGAACGCGAGTTTAGGAAGTATAGCATATCGATCTAGCCACCCCCAGGCACACAGTGACCATGAAAAGTATGGATATCAATCTAGCGAAAGCCGGGGATCATGCAGCGTACCAGAAAGGTCAACAGCGTCAGCCGCCATTATGCAATGAGATGCACCACATCCTTCGTCTTTCATCTTGACTACGGTCAACGTCGACCAACCTTCTCACACACCAGAATGCTTGCGGCACGATTCTCGACGGAGTTACGGAAAGTATTTTTTACTAATTTTTTCTTTCTTCAGCGTTAGCGAAAGCGCGTGCCCAGCTTGTAGCGCGACTCACGCGCTCTATCGCGCAAAACAAGAATCATATTTCGTGTATTCGTGTCCAGGGGTCAAATAACCCCTAGAGCTCACTTTACGAAAACCTGAGCGTTCTGAGTCAAAGTTCGAAAAAATGGAGGGTATGGATCATGGCCTGGCTTGATAGCTTACAGCGATCACTATTGACTAATCATACTGGGTGATGACTGTCTTCGAAACTCAAACTAACCCTTCAATCATGTCTCTTTTCGCAAAGAACAATATCTGGCTTACTCATTCGTGTCGTCTGCATCATTTTCCTGATTACCGGTAGGAATTCCATCCCGAGACCAGTCATCGATGGTAGGTGAGCTCCAAACTGCTGCTAATTACCCATGGAATACTCACATTTTCCAAGTTAGGTCGAAATATCAGATTCGGCTAGAAACTTGTCCCGGGAGTAATTTAAACCCGCTGAACATGAATATGATGGTATTTCATTGCGAAAACCCTTGTGACCATGTGTGCGGGTGGCGGGACGAACACGAGCAACTCTTTTATGCCATAATGGGGTCACACAAAACTTTCGAAAAAAACTGGTCGCAGTTTCCTTACAGGATAGTGCAGGCGAGCAGAGATGTTAGAAGCTTTGTCGGCCATGTTCTTGGACAAATGCAAAAAAGGCACCCTGCCGAGAACCGACCCTACGACGTCTCGCCTAGTAAACCCGCTCGCTATCCGTTGCGCTCTACTGCCACGTTTCAGTTTGACTCCATTCTTGTATATAAAGACGCTTTCCACGTATTCCATCGGAGTAAGCATTAGCCAAACAACCACGCGGGATGAAAACCTTCATAACTATCCGTTCAGAAACCGTTCCTCAAAATTCTGAAGTCAGATTCGAGTTAGCGTCTCAAGACTCGTACCAAACTGCTTGTGCACCTTCATCGGAAATGCCGGGCTGACCTGTTGACTTCACTGGCATCAGGGGTATACGAACCGGTTTCACGTACAGTGGATTCTATTTGGCCGAGATGAGGCTCCTCTCATACATTGCGTTAGCGTACGCCAGCGCACGCGTTTTGATCGTTTCGAGGGTATGCTAGAACGGCGAGTAGGAAAGTATAGATATCGATCTAGCCAACGCCAGCGCACACCAGTGACCAGGAAAGTATGGATATCAATCTAGCGAACGCCGGGGTATGCCAGCTTAGAGCAGCGTTTTCGAGCGCAGTTTCGCTCAAGCTCGACTGCTCCGATGAAAACGCCGGCGTTCGCTAGATAGATATCCACATCAGATCCTATCCATGATTTATTAGTAGCTGGTGCTGTCGTGCGCTCGAAAAGCTTCCGTACGCTGAGGCATATGAACGTAGCCCAATCCGAGTTTGCGCAAGGAATCTTCAAATTGTCACCCAGTCGTTAGAGCCGAAGAATCTGCTCGAACTATCAAGTTCCAAGGAAAAAAACTTGCTAACCAGAATTCTTATAGTTTGCAGCTGCCCATTCGACGCGAGCGTCTCGATTCTTCGTTACAACGTCAATGTCGAATGAGCTTAAATAACTTGAACTTCGTACCATGTAACTCAAAAATGGCAAGCAGTACCTTTTCGGCTTGGTGCTGCATCTCCTTAAGCTATAGCTTACACGACCGGAAATCATCCCATCTAACAATCGTCACTTTAGCTGATTATTGATTATTTACTTGATCTAAACCTACGCATTTACTTCTTTTCAGAGAGAAAGAAATAAGGAAAAAGGTCAGGAGGGAGAAAAACATAGGACGCGTTCACTGCACACTTCTACATAAAACGAGAGCGCATTTCGGTGACGGGGAAGGGGGGGGGGAAAGGGTATATGGCAAGAGAATCTTAATTCACTGTCGTCATTAGCAGGCGCACCACGTGTGATGTCGCGCCTGCTAATGACGACAATTCTAGGTGGTATCGGTCGAGAACAGACATGTATGGCCAAAAATAGACATAAGTGTCTACCATGCCCATGTCTACATGAAATCAGATGCTCCAATCGAAAGGGGTGCAAGTTAGGCCGCGTTCATACATGACGACGTTGTGGAAATGACGGAAATTGCGGAAAGGAAATGCATACGTATCGATTTGAAAACTGCATTTCTGCAAATTCCGCGGAATTTGCAGAAATGACGGAAAAAGAAATGATAGGGATCGATCGGTTCGTTCCTGCCGTCGTGCGGAATTGGGAGAAATGCAGAATCCGCAGATTCTGCAGATTCCGCACTTCGGCAAATTCCGCGGAATTTGCAGAAATGACGGACAAAGAAGTGATAGGGATCGATCGGTCCATCGGCATTTCTGCAAATTCCGCACTTCTGCATATTCCACGGTTTTTGAAATCGATAGACATATTTTCTTTTTCTGCAAGTTCCGCGGTTCTCCCAATTCCGCAGGTCTGCAAATTCCGCAGTTCTGCACATTCCGTGGTTCGGGCAATTTCGCTGCTTCACTAGATTCAACTTACAAGTCTCAGTCTGATGAAACCTGTGAACTCTTGTGTAGCCGGAGCAAAATCGTCGAGTCACCGTGGTAAATGGTATTTGTCTGGCATTTCGCTTCTTTACAGGAGTTGACAAGTGGTCTCTAAGAACTGTTTGGTATCATTTCACGGCTTCACGAGGTTTCACGAGTCTCCTCGTGATCCTCGGATTTCACTTGAAGGCTCGACGCGCCGCTAGGAAGTAGCAAAACTAGCTCCTCAAGCATCCACGACCTACAATGTGTCAAGGAATCAACGGTGTCCGTCCACTGAACTCCCAACTTTACATGACTCCCTGGCAGAATATTTATTCGAAGAACAGATAAAACCATCGAAACACATATGTTCGCTGAAAACAGGCATGAACGGATAAAACAATCACTATTCACAGGAAGAGATAAAACATAAAACAATATTCACAGGAAATGCTGTCATAGACAGAAACTCAACCAGATCAATAACACCAGTCAATGCAATAAAACTCTAATACGTCGGAAAAATCGAAGCATCCGATTCCGCAGATTAAAACCGACCAAATCTGATTTTGGCCTTTCATGCAAAGCAATAAAAAGAAATGTGGAAGTATACTATACTATACTATTCTATACTATACTGATTCCTATGTAAAACATTCATTTATGAGTGGAACCAACAATAAAAAACATAAGTGTGCCTATTTACAAATGTATCCGCATAATGCAGCACAATAAATTAATGACGATAATATAACGAACATCAGAAAATAGTTGTAAAACAACAGAAACTGCCAACAGTTATAAGACAACATAACAGCCCACTACATGCAAAGGCTATAGCCTGCAAGCAACTAAAAAGTACTGCTCTCGTATTATACAAGTGATAAAGTCGTATCATACATCATTATTATTCCAGTTAATACGAACAAAACAGAAACAAAAGCATGATCCCTTGAGCGTTATCTTTGCCAAAAGCACTGACAACATGCAGCTTCAGGTTTCAATTTTGAGAGCGACCACACCTTTCTCGATGTTACTGTAGTTGATGGACCCGCGGCGGCATGGGTCCTGACACGAAAGGCCAGAGTGCAGAGAAATAGAGGATCACCGGTTGCTTGGCTTGGATGGGTGCAAATAACATGTTGCTAGCCAGGAAACGATTTTCAGAGGGAAGGGACTCCGCAGTGGTGAAGCAATAATGCGTCAAAAGTTGGGATGTTTCGGAGTCACATCGCTAATGCAGTGTCATGCAGTTTTGAGAAAGTAGAGAAAACAAAAAGTCGACGCGATAAAGAAGTTCATGGTTTGAGTGCAAGTTGTCCGTAGACACTAAGAGACTCTTCTTAGTGACTCCCTTTAGCTGCGCTCATACTTTGCGTCAGCACACGCCAGCGCATTTCAGCGCTCACCAGCATTCTCGCGGGCAGTTTTGCTCCATCTCAAAGTGATAGAAACGCTGCCGTACGCTGAGGCGGTGTATGAACACAGCATTAGTAGAGGCCGCCGATGGTGGCGAGACTCATCGCGTCGACTAACCCCCTTACCTTTCAGAACCCCGTTTTGGCGCCTCTGATCCAAGTAGCTGGTAAAAAGACGAAATTCTGGGCTTCTTTTTATGTGGGTCACAGTAGCAATTTCTGAAGCCTTACAATCATCCTAACAAAGAGAAAGTTGTGCTTACTCAAAACTGAAACCCGGGAAGAAATAGAAGGCACGATAAAACGGATTCATGCAGTTTCAATCATTCTTTCCATATTAAAACGGATCTCTCTATTCATGCTGATAAAACATACTAACCATAGGCTTTGCAGATTGCCTATTAATCTCTACGACAAGCAAAACGACTTGTCTACTAATCTCGTAATCATATCATAATTCTACCTGATAAAACGGAAGTGCTCCTCTATAGGTGAACGTCGAGTTCCTCTGATCCGTATTACTAAGCTCCACACCAATCTCGAAGAAAATCCGGAATGAATGAGGGCGATATCGGCTGAAAATCAATTGCTTGTATTTATAAAGTTATCATATGTTGGCGAACTGGTCAAAGTTCGCGTATGAGCTAGGCATGGCATAAAACTTGGCAAACTATCCATAGTTCTCATTAGTTGTCTAGCTCCTTGGAAAGGGTGGTGCATATCTCCCAAAACAACCGTTCAGTAACACTGAAAATTCAATATGGAGTAAATAAGTTCCAACTCACCGGAACTTCCACCGTCAAAACTGTCCTCTGCCTTCGAATTCCGATTCAAACTGGTCACAGAGTTGGCGCAGACGATGGGCAATTGACGTGATTCTGGTGCAACACTGCATAATCCCTGAACACATTTGCTGTTCTTTGCATACCAGTTGCTCTACCACATGTAAGCGAGGGGTGTTGTATAGCGCACAAAGTTCTCTCGTCGAAGTCTCCAAAAGGTAATCAAACAAGTGACTACTAAGCAATGTGCGTCACCCAGTTAAGACGGCCATCAGCTAGGCTGAGAGGGCTTGTGATATTTACTGGTACCATTCAGGGTAAGGTGTCGCCGTGCCGCTTTACAAATGCGGAGATTGTGAATTCGAAGAATTCGCCCCTGAGCAGAATGGGTGGATGAGATGGGATCGACTAACCCTGCTGACCAGTGAATTCACCAAAATATCTACATTCGAGAACTCTACATTCGCAAAGTTCGAACGTGGCCTTTATTATTGTAGGGCAACTAACAATAAGACAGATTGATTGAAATATCTACTGCCTTTAATCACAGTCATCGGCTGTGATTAAAGGCAGTACCCGCGTTCAGTAGATATTTCCCACTACCTTCGTGAGCAGGTAGCCAGGTTCGCAGAGACAGCGATTACACCACGGCGCAAAAACGAGTGAGGAGACCTACGATCCCGTCCTGAATCTCTTACTTCGAATTGTGAGAGGTAGGTGATAAGGGAAACCAGCTGATATCAACAAGTAAGAACTCCTACGAGCCTGCCACAGCCTCTGCTCGCCTTATGCACGTACAACCTCAGTTCGGCAAGGGATTCTATATGGGACATGTCCGGCGGGTATTTTTTTTTTGCTTTATTCTTCACTACTGGATCATTTGCTACCTTGTTATTACTAGCTGAGCTGCACAACTCATTATTTTTTGAAAGGGGCTCAGCTTTCAAGCATTAGCTCCCTGCCGAAACTTTTCTCCGAATGATTAGACAGTGCAGATCTATGGAAAAACAGGAATTCAGTCCCTCATGACGCTTCATTTTTCTCCCTCCGTCTTGTGAGCGTTCTATGACGGAAAATTCACTGTGACCTCACGCGTTCCAACTTTTAATGCATAGGGGTCCACTCATCCCCACAGTACCCTCCACCTGAAACAGCCCGTCCCCGGTTTGCCACATGTCGCAACTGCTATCCCCTATCTGTCTGCGCTACAGTGGCACTCATAGAAGTTCGCGAAGCAGTCAAGTGATCATACAAACCAAAGTAGTCAACGGTAGAGTTACATAAAAGTTTTCTCGGCTGCAGACTACGGGGCGTAACCGGCCGGACGGGTTTGGCGGGGCACGAAACTCGTTCTTCACCGTTGTTGAATCGAGCAAGAGACAAGACTGCTACTATCGTAGTGTAGTAGTTGTGTTTTGGCGCCGCGCCAAACCCATCCCACCGGCAAAGCGCGCAAACGATTGTATGTAAAGTGCTCGAGTGTAAAATATCTTGCCGTCTACCTGTTTTCTGAGTCGGAGAATTTCCTCTTGCTTGCTCTCTGATGCTGCAATCTTTCTCCACCGCCACTTCATCAGCACTGAATGTTTGTGATCGCAACATTGAAGAATCGTGGGTGTCGAGGAGCACCACACCTCAAAATAACTTCCTGACTCTTTGTGCTTTACGACGTCCTAACTATAGTTATAAGGATTTTGAAAAGGTTATGTAAATGAGCTCACACAACTTACCTAACTGACATAATCGTGCGCACAAACCAGAAACTAGCGGAAAATTCAGTAGTGCTTGAATCTGCCAGGGCATCGCCAGCTGGTTCACATATGGAATCATTGTGCTGGAATAAAAATGGTGAAGGAAGTTGAAAAATATAAAGTGAAAAAACTACGTTGAACGAGTTCCATTGGGCGAACAAAACAACTATGGATCGCCTTGCTACAATGAAAATGTACATGGTGTTACAATTAGGTATTTTCTCTGCACTTCGCTAGGACACTGTGTGAGTTAAAAAATGAGAAAGCGAAAAACAAACATGAACCCGTTCCATATAAAAGGTTACCTTAGCGAGGGCACGTCATACCTAGGGAATCCCCAACGGGATGGGGGGGGGGGTCGTATTTGGTATACGACACGAGCGCTGTGCACATTGTTGGGAGTCTCATTGGATAAGAGTCATATTATCTCGTTGCTTTATGAGGGGAGGGTCGTATCCGGCCCATTAGAACCTTTTTTTCCCGCGAGAAATTTTGTCTTTCGATTGTAGACTTTCGCTATGTGTGCATGCGTTTCATTTCAGTCGTTTTGTTTCGTTTGTTTCTGTTTCGCATGGGCAAAGCGGCCTCCTCCTGAGCTGGTCGTATAGGTACGACCCCTCCTCCCCCCACCATGAGGGTCTCGGTACGACCCCCACCCCTTCCCCAGCACCTACCCACCAATTCCCAACCAAAATTTCTAGTTTTTCACTCAAAAATTTTGCTGTCAAGCGGGGGTGGGGTGTATATAGTGCACATGAAACAGGAAAAATCACGCAAAAGTCAACATCCAGAAAACCAACGCCACAAACTTGTCTGACACCTCCTCTCTCCCAAAGACCAAATACCACCCTCCTCCCCAAAGGAAAAGTACGACCCCCTATGTGCTCCACACAACGATACTGTACCCTGCCTTCACACACCTGCTCAAGGCAAAATTGAAAAAAAAAACGGAAGAAGCGGTAGTGAGCTGGGAAAAGTCAGTAAGATGGTGGGGATGAAGTCCAATTTTGTAAAAACTTTCCGCAGTGACAGGACGTGCTCTGCTTAAAGGAGTACGCCCTAATGGAAACAAAAACTTTGGAAAACGTGACAAGATTACCAAATGCCACATTTCGAGCAGAGCTCTGGGTTCAGAGAAGCGAATCGCCGCGTCTTTCACTAGTGCTGTGTTCAAGTCATTCCCAATTTGCCTCACACTCCGAGTAAAAGGCTCCATTGTTAACAGACTAAGATATCGTACGAAAAAGAGGCACTTGTGGGCACGTGTGCGTAGTAACACAAACGGCAACGCAATAGCTACGGGAGGTCTAAGGAAGTGGAGGACTTTAATGAGTTTCAGGACGTCTGTCAACTAAACATTCTCTCGCGGGAGGTTCCAGAGGTATTTTCCCATCGCATCGAGCATTCAAAGGGAGAAGGAAAAGGAAGACGGAAGGGAGAATGGGAGAAAAGAAGGACGAAGAAAGAAGGTAGGAGGAGAGGGGCACCACGGTTGACAAGTATCCTGAGACGGACTTTAGCGATCTCATCACGCTACAATCTCAGCACAGATAAGAAAAAAGTTGCCAATTTAACACGGCATGATAACGAAGTGGTACAAAACGAGGTCCACCTGGCACGGAAGAGGATAGCTGACAGAATGGACGGTCGCCACGTGGTACGTGCCCCAAGGCGATCACGTGATTACACGTAGGTCACGAAGGGTCACGAGGTCGTCCGTACGGTCACAATTAGTCATGTGACCTCATAGATTACTGCTGACCCTCAGTGGTCTATTATAATGGTGAAATCCTTTTGTAGACTTCCTATAAAGTGCGGACCAAGGCACGCGCGGTTGTGATCTTTTCTTGAAAAATACGACCCCCCTAATTCTATCCTCTACGACCCCCTCCCCATGCCACCTACAACTTTACTAGTTTTTCCCAACTTCCTACCACTTTTTCCATTTTTTCTGTAGCTGGTGTGACACACGAGTGCGCACGCTTGCTTTGCTCACTTGCGCTCTACGAGCTGCAATTTTTTGCTGTTAGAGGAAAAAATATCATTGACCCCTGGTAAGACGCTTATGTTATGTTATGTTATGTTTATTACGCTGCATAAGGCAAACGTGAGAGAACAACAAACAAAGAACATCACGAAGAAAACTTTCTGGGAACAGACGACAACGATATATCAACTAGGAAAATACGCTCACTCAGTATATCAAGAAGATATCAAACTAATCAAAGTGAAATGATGCGACTCGAGCTGGCAACGATCCGAGACTATTCAACTATTGGTTAAGTTAGGAAATTCTGAAGTCAATCTCAAGCAACTAGGATGTTACGTGACTAAGTAGCCGTGAAGCTACAATCCTCTTAAGCTGTCGCACAGTACTGGGAATGGATAAATTCAGCTGTTATGTTGCGTCTATACTTTGCGACGCAAGTGATTCAATCGCGCGATGCTCAGATCACGCAAAAGTGAGAGTTTCGCTATCACGCGCTAATCGTTGTGTTAAGTGAGTAATTCAGTAACATTCGAAGAGAACTTCTGATCGAATAGCGATAGGTGGGTTGACCCATAAATTAAGTGGCCGTAACGCGCATCGCAAAGTGGCAGTAAGGCCTACAGGTTGCGGATAACAACAACGCACCCGCGTGGCAACACCGTGGGCGGGCGAAGGCAAGCCTTGCGTAAGTCCGCTGAACGTACCCGTACCCGGCGCGAAACCATTTCCATCCGTACACAGATGCTGAGCAAGATGGGTAGTATATTTTTTTCTAGGATTCTTCCACGAAGC